GGTCAAAACAAGTGCAAGGAAAAAGGCTGAAAAATCTCCCTGCCTTGTCACTTGCAAGGAAAGGCTGGAAAAGACATGCCTGGCTTGATTGAGAAAACGTCCAGTTAACCCCTCTTGCAAGGAAAGGCTGGAAAAGACACACCTGGCTTGATTGAAAAAACTTCCAGTTAACCCCTTACATCCTAACATCAGTATGCATATTCTCCATACTGTTATCTTCACAATTCTTAGAACTTCTCTGGTTGGTGATCATTTCCTTTATTCTTGTGACCATAATGTTAGGTTACAGAGTGAAAATGTAAGAGAAATTTAGATGTTAGTCTAGTAAGAGTGATTAGCATCTAAATTCTCCTTACAATATCATCCCTGATTGTTAGGAAATGTAAAGAGAAAAGTATAGAGAATATGCATTCTGATGTTAGGGTGTAAAGGTTTTAAGGTTATCTGGGAGAATCATTTTGGAGTCAACATTGCAACTAGTTGAGGTGGTGGTTCAAAGATTAGTACCCATCCCATCTTGCCTGAGGCCTTTCCTTTTTTTCCTGAAGGGTAGGGTAACCCTTGGTAGTTTATCTTATCACTTCAAACCTTCAGTATACCTATCCCAGATAAATGATCAAAGTACAATTGTTATGACCTCAATAGGTCTCACCTTACTATAAAAATAGTTGAAGCATGTGGATGAGATGCATTTAGAAGCTACAAACCTTTATTTGAAAGATTTACAAAATGTATACAACAGTACACCTAATCAAGCTGGGTCTTGCCTGCACAATAGAAGTGCAGACTAAAGTGAAATTCAGTTTGTTTAGAAACTGCCACTTTAAACCCCTTTTCCACAAAAAGAACAAGTCACATGCCTCTTTTTATTCAAACAGTTACCAACAAATCAAACTGGTAATATAGACTAAGATAATGTTGCTTTCTTTCAGTTCAGTAAAAGCAACTCATTTGTGAGTAATCATAGCTACTGTGTCTCCTCTTGTACTGTTCCTATTCCTTTTTTTACATTCTTTACAGTTACAAGTCAAACATTTTCAAGTTTTCTTTTTGTAAACGTCTTTTTACACTCAGAATGATACCTAATATACAATATTAGCACCTGGGATTAAAAAAAAACTGACTACAAACGATGATGAACCCGTTTCATTACACTGGTTTCTTGTACTCAATCCTCTCCACCTTCACATCATCCTGAATGAGCTGGTACACATATGTTACAATAGTACCTCCTTGAATGTCCATCAACACAAATGATGGTACAGTGTCACTGCAGTAGAGGAAAAAAAATTGTTTTGATACAAAATCACCATGGGTAGCCACCACTGTATTCATAGAGCACAGCACTGTTTTTTTTTTGTGTTTACAGAAAATGGAAGAGAAGCGCAAGGTGAGTGCAAGGAAAGCTCTAAGAGTGCTCAAAAGATGCTCTTTAAAGAAAGAATTGTTTAAATTTCACTCAATTTTCATAGATTTACCTTATTTCTTTATTATTTTTCATAAATTCCTTTCTAGAGAGGGGCTCCAAGCTTAACCTTTTGCAAATTGCCACTTGGTGACTTGCAAAAAATAAAATATTATTCACAAGAAAAAAGAGTAGTCTAAAAGAAATAGATACAAGTCACATTCTTTTATGTATATGTTTACAAAACTACTGCATGGCCATTAAGTACAGATCACCAAATAAAAAAATTTGCTGCAAATTTAGTGGCTAAAAATGCTTGTTTTTCTTTATGACAATTAATCGAAATGATCGTAGCTTGGAGATACCAGATGTATATTTTACTTTTGTTTCTACCTTTGTAATGGATGATATGCTCCAGTGGCTGAACCAGGATTGATATAAAACCTTCCCTCATGTTCATATGCAGCAAACTTGTGTGAGTGGCCATAAATAAGTATGTCGACATCGAGCTGCCGCTGAAGCTGTTAAAGACAAAAACAAAACTATTTTCATAACAACACTCCATACAACTATTACACATTAAACAATACTTGACAAATTCATCAGCTGTATCTTGATATACCTCTAACTCTCCAATTAATTTCTATCATGATGATAGATAAAGCAGCTAAAAAGGAGATTTACTGATTAGATCTTTATAAAATATTAGTGTTACATCACTCACCATTGCAAGGGACTCTGGGTCCCCCCATGGAACGATCTGATGACCATGACATACTCCTATCCTAAACTGTCCTACATTCACTACCTTCTGCTCAGGATAAGATAAATTCTGAAAAGAAATATGTGTCCTTGTCAATCTGTGGATTCTATAAACTCTGAAACACCACTTGAAATATTAAATTCAATACATTTCTGTATGAAAAATCACTCACTTCTGATTAGCAATCTATGAATACTCTAATCTAAAATTCCTAAACAACTTTCTCATGTTGTTGTTCTGATATTATCCACCCATTTTTTTCCTCCTCTTTTCAACCCTTTTACTGCTAAGATCTCATTGGTAATTCTCTTTACTATTTGCCATGCAATTCTTATCGCATAAGTTCAGAGAATTTGGTACTGGATCAACTACTAATCCTCTGATTGACATTTTTCTTTATTCTCGTCACTTGTCTGCTGGATATTGTGTTGATATAGTGAGGAGAAATTCTATCTTGGTCACTGATGGGAGTTAAAAAGGGTTAAGACTAATAACTAAGTGATTAAGTATGAGATTTGCACACAGTAATAACTGAATTTAATGGTGTCTCAGCCAGCATTTTCACCATTTCCATCACACTAGAATTAAAGATTGACATCTTGCGACAAAGAAACAGAGGACTTTGTGAAACTCAATAACATATAACCTTTTAAAAGCTGTCAAAAAGTGAAGAGCTTGAATTCCAATTTGCAGTTAAATTATCACGCAAACATTACATCACATTACCACAGCAAAAGAGGAAAATTGGTTTTCAAACTACCTCATCAAAATCCCCTCTAACAACATGGACATCACTGGCCAGTGTTTTGAGATAGTCATATGAATCTTTTGCACAGAGATTTCCAGTGCATAAGATGTGCTGTATTTTTCCAGGTACCTGAGAAATAAAAAGACAAAGCCAAATGAAATTATAACCCTTTAACTCTCAAATTCTACAAGAAATTCTACCCTCCAATTTTTACACCCTGGTATATTCCTTTCCAAATTAGTTAAAGAATTTGTTCTTACTTCAAGATGTCACTCTCCAGCAAACAAGTTTGTTTTATTTCATCAACTTTATGCTGGATGATGTAATTTCATTAGGAGGGCAATTTCTAAACCCTTTACACCCTGGCATCAATATACATATTCTTCATACAGTTCTCTATATATTTCCCATAGTGCTGACATAGAGAATTGCTGAACAATCAAGTCACTCTTGGGGTGTAAAGATTAAACTAATTATTCTGATATATAAAGATACGCAAAAAATGCCAGGCAACTTGTAATATGCTTGTTAAGTCTATGGTCATTTTCACACAGGGTTTGTGTATTAAATGTATTATTTCTGTTTGCAGAGACTGAATGACTTAGTGCAAGGTAGCAAGGAAGTAAGAATTTATACTAACATGATTGACTCACCAACAATTTTTTAAACTTTGCTGGTAAACTGTGTTGCCGATGAGGAATGTGAAGGTCCCCAAGTACAAGAACAAGCTACAAGATGTGAAGTAAAGTAAATACAGTAAAAATTTCATTACCAATTGGATTTCTAAGAAAAGTAGCTGCTGTACATTCCCTTGCATTTCCTGTCCATTTCCAAATTCTAACTTTTTTGTGTAAGATGTTTTAACACTTTTCTGTAAGATTACCTCAATCAGGTTTTAAAAAAGTATAGTCTGGTTATTGTGATAGTGTAACTTCTAACCATTCGTATACGCTACCGTGAGAAGTTAAGACCAAAATTTCAAGGAATCAAGCACCCCGGGTTCCCGATCTCATCATCTACTCCTCTGTTCCGTATCCCATGAGTATTAAATGCACCCCTGATATTATGATACTAGTATTGCCTTTTGTACCCAACCAAGAAATAAAATATTTTCGGTCAGCCTTTTCTATCATGTCATATTGTGTCTGAAAAAGAAACAACCTTGCAGGATAAAACTGAAAATCTGGGCAAAGGGTTGATCTGACATGTGACCGAGTATTACATGTTGCTACACTCGAAACTAAAAGCTCCATAAAAGGTGAACTAGCCACAAAATACCATCGGATAATTTTGATCAAAGGTAAAGGCTTTCTTATCATCTCTAAAATGACGAATGTGGAATATAATTAAGCTAAAATTTCTCATTACAAACGACTTACCATATTGACTCCCGTGAGTGTCGCGATGGAAGTACCAACCTTCAATTTGGCGTGGTCACTCAGCATAGGGAAGAAACCGGAAGTAAATCGCAAACAGAGAGCCAATCAACGGCTTTCTTCTAAAAATAGTTGCAGGAAATGTAACCAACAATTTTCACTCGCGCTCTGGCTTGGAGTGAATCTTCACCCACGGGTTTCTTCCCTTTTTTCCTATATTAGTCCCTGTCTCCTGGTGGATTCTCCGGCATAGATCAAATTGAATGAAATTTGCCTTGGTCTGAAAATAGGAAAGTCTATCTGGCTTTGCTCTCAGACAGCGAGATGCCCAAGTTGAAAGGAGTCGAAGGCACAAAATCCCACAAGAAAATGCGAAGAAAAAGGTCCACTGCGAGTACTGTCAAAGGAAAAAGAAAACTTGGAGGCAAGGGTAAAAAGGTAACTAACTATTGCAGTTTTCACCTAAGATTTAGTTTGCGTTGACCGAACGACCGGCATGATTTTCTTCTTTTTGAAGATCTTTGCGTGGGACGAAATAGTTCATGTGGTCTTCCTTCTTCCCTTCTTCATAAATCCAGTGTAGTGCGCGATGAAAGTAAGGGCGCTTCTGTCATATTTACTTACGGTTTGAATTACATTGAAATTTTCAAGGCTCTCAGAAAGTGCAGTATCACTTGTCTTTGGATAATACGCAATGGTTGAAATAATTTGCTTGGAAGTGTTACTACTCGCGTCGATCTTTTGTGTAGGTAGGAGGGTCTCGAGACCATAGTGTGCAGACAGTTTCTCGATATATCTGTAAAATAAAACATAATTTTTTTTCGATGAAAAATCTTGTTGCGTCAGGCAGAGGATGAACATGTATTTGATATTTTATGTTGGAGATATTCGGGAGTCGTACTGTATGGCTTTGCCCAGTACTTGTCATGTCGATTTCAGACATCCATAGTTCTCTAGACCTTTCTGTTGGCTTTTGAACTTACAACTTCGAGTTGATTTCAATTAGGGGAACAAAGCCTTAACCGAAGATGTCAAATATTTGGATCATATTTGTTCAGGGGTAATTTTTTCGGAGCGATTTTCGTTTCTTGGCGATCAAAAGTCAGCTGTGACTCTCGTATCTGCGCGCGTTTGCTGTTGCGTCGAAGGAGGACGCAAGATCGATCTTGAGGGAAACTTCTGGCCGGTACCCGTTTCTCAGGAGATAATTGAAAAAAGCTGCGTAAAACAGTTTCTAAGGGATAGTACAAAAGATCGCTGAAATTTTCTATCATTGACACATAGACAGAGTTTAGTGTATCGAGTTTTAAAAAAATTGTTTTTCTTTTGTAGCAGTCTGGAAGGAGCGTGAGCCCTCGGAGCGATTCATCAGAGGACAGCGTATTTAGCAATCAAGCCTGCGCACCACGGACTTCGGGAAGGATCAAAAAAATGGCGGCAGTGTTCAATCGAGAGGCGAGCTTTGATGACAATCGTTCTGATGTTTATGATGACGATGAAGATAGGGGATTTTTCCACATGAACGAATCAGATGAAGGTATAATTTAGTTATTGAGAGTGCGACAATTTGTATGGATGGATCGAAAAATGGGTAGTTTGTTTTACTTGTGGAACTCAGCAGTGCATGCATGGATATGTTTACATGTTAAGTTGCAAAATATGTAGGGTGTAATGTTTCATACATTATAGTCAACAGACTCTTGATTTGCATTGTTTGATAGTAGATTCATTTTTTAGTATTAGTGGGTACAGTTTTTCGTTGCTCTCAGGGCTAGCTAAGGTGCCTGCATGAAATTTTGGATACGTGTGCATGTATGTGAGCTCCAGGTATTTTTTTTTTAGATATGCCAATTAACCCGAAAACACTTAAGATTCATACAGTTAAGAAAGGAGTTCCCTCTCTATGTTTTGACTGTATGAAAGATTGGGTTCCATGGCAATGGTTAACAAAAAAATGTTTGATTAAATATTTGCAATTGGTTTATGGGTTTTGATCAATCAAGATATTTTTTTATCATTGATAAGACTTTGATAATATTCTTTTTAAAGCCAGACAGTGTGAATTTATTTATTCAGCTATAAATCCCTGATATACTGTATGCTAGAGAGAATTGAAAATTTGAAGCTGAGAAATCCATTTTTGTAATGTTGAATAGTATGTTGTACCCATGCTACAAGGTACATGTATGATTAAAAATGTTATCTAAATTGAACTTTAGATACAGAAGATGCAAGTGAAACTGATATGGCAAAGCTTGAAGAGGAGTTTACAGAAATGAAAGAACAGTAAGTATTCCTTCCCACTTGATAAAAAGTTAGAGAAATTGCTTATGGACAACTTGTCTTACCTAATCCTCCATAGATAGAGCTGACATGTAATCTAGACAATCACAGTATTTTTCACGAGATGTGCTCATTAGATTTAAAAATGCTAATTTATAGGTTTATTTATATTTCAGAATGTACCAAGAAAAGTTACAGGATTTTAAACAACAGCTACAGAATTTGAACAGTGGTAAGAAGATGAGTGCTGCTATTAAATTTGCTTTTGAACTCAAAATTAAAATGTGTTTTCACTGCTAAGTGTAGTTGACTTAACCCTTCACCCTTCACCCTTTATGGAAGTGAGAAACTGTCTTTGAAATGATAGAGCGATTTTCACTATTTCTCAGGTAAACACTCTGACTACACTAAGAGGCTGAATAAACTTGATTTAGTTAGAACAGAGAGACTTCTCATTGCAGGTAAAGTATTAAAAGCATTTCTTTTCATTTTCAGCTTTGTTTATTAGTTGTCATTAGTAACATTATTATACATGTGCATTACAATACAAGGTTGGATTACATTTTATTACAAACATTAATGTTTTTGTTTGATTCTATTCTTGTTTCTCTTGAATTTTCAGACATCTGTAGGAAGTATGAGGTATGTACTGGATATAGATATTATTCCATGGAAAGTATACGCAAACAATTTTTATTCATTTGTTTTGATGCATCAAAAAATTCACCTGTTTGCTTCACTCAGTCAGTCGTTTTTTTGGCATCACAACTGATGAATAAAAATTTTCAAGCACTTTCCATAGTATGATGTTTTTATTTCATATGTACTGAGATTTACACAGTAAAGCACAAAGCAAACTATTGTGGAAATACATTGTTCCAATCAGAGATAAAACTTTACAATTTAAGTGTCAGTAAGTATGAAATCAATTAGGGTTATCAACTAAAGGTAGCATCTAGGGATCAATTGTTTCATACTTCAGAATTAAGAACTTTTCTCTTCATCTTGTCTTTGTATGCCACTATTGTTTACTTCAAGTAAGGCATCAGCTTTCTTCAAATCATGTTTAAACTCTAAACTGCTTGCTTTAATTTATATACTCCATAGTTATCAACTAGTTTCTATTCAATTCACAAATGATATACCTTGTATACCCACATTTTAAAACAATGTAAAGAAAGTAAAATTTACTTGTTCAGTGCTTTCTGATTTCACATATATATATATGATTGTTGTCAGGATTTTACATAACACACCTTTTTCCTTTGCTTTTGGTCTATATAAAATGAAGCCCAGCCTTATTTGTTTGTAACAGTGATATTCTTGCATTCTTCACAAAGATTGAGCTTGTTGAGAAGGAATATGTCCGTGAACAGAAAGCAGCACAAGAGGAGTATGAGGTAAGGGCTGCTTCTCAGTTATGGGAATGTTTTATTCTGTTTTTGTGTGATTATTTTGTAATTCTATTTATTTTTTATTCCTTTCACAAATATCTTTTGTACAGCATTATGATCTTTCACAACTAGAACACTACCCTCTTACTTAAACTACTCTATGTAAAAATATGTTTACCAGTAGATTTAGCAACAATATAACAATAAAACTTAATGCATAAAAATATCTAACAACAAACAGTTCAAAATAACTAAAATGAAACATGCATGATTCTCTGTCACTCAGAGTTTCGTGCTTACACACTCGTCAAACAGATTTAATCTGACCACTTTCCTACAGCATTTGGTACAATTTCCCACAATTAACAACAAACATGTATATGCAAATTTTAAAAATAGTCAACTATGGTATGTTGGTCTGATTTAATCCCAAATTCTCCAAAACCTAGTTGAAGACATGTGTTTAACTTTTAGTAACGAAAATTGCCATGGATATAGAGTTTTGATTAAGGGTTTTGCTGTCGCGGTTTAAAGATAAGCCATTTGTTTGTGTTTTTCTCCCTTGTTTAATTAGCAAAAGAAAGTTGAACTCAAAGAGACACTCCTAAATGAACTACAAGAGAAGAAAAAGGTGATAGAGACAGAGAGGTCATCCATGGAGCTCACCGGAGGTTAGTTAAATAAAGGTATTTTTTCAAAAGGAATCATCACAGAATAACACATTATTTGGGGTAGACAAAAATTCCAAAGCATTTTGCAGTAACAGAAAGAAGCTCAGATCAATATCAGTCTCTGGGCAACTGCCCACCTACCCCTCCCCTAACCCAAAATTAACCCTGACTTGTTATCAATTGACTGTTGTTAAGTTAGGGAAGGGGTAGGTGGGCAGTTGTCCAGATACTGATATTGATCCAGAAGCTCTGCATCAATTAAAGTAACCAAAAAGTCACAGCTCATGAGCTTTCATTTCATTGGAGTTTCCAAATTACAGGGTTTTCATTGAGTAGTTAGTTTTGCTGTCAATCTCTGGTTTTTGTAGCATCCTTTATTGAAAAAAAAAAGTTATCTTTGATAAAACAGTTGCTAGCCACCAATAATAGTTGGCTCATGGTGATTTCAACCAGCAATAAACTACCTGTACATTTTATCAAAAATTTTTCCTCTGATTTAAATGTTGCCTAGAAGCAAATTGTTTAGGGGAGTAATGCTAAATGACTGACAATTCTCCTATTTTGATAGATTCAGTGGAAGTGAAACCTGCTGTTACACGAAAACTGAGAAGAAGACCAAATGACCCATTACCCGCTCCTGAAAAAAGAAGAAAGACTTCTCATATCCTTATGAATTCATTGCCCTACAATTCAATTACTGAAGATTTTGTTATTTTGTTACTAGGTACAAAAAATTTGTCAGCATATGATAAGTGCTGTTGATATGAACAGACAGTGAGAGAGAAGGGATCACTTTGCCAGGTCATGTGTAGCCATTTCAGATTGGAGAATTATGGGGTTGTTTGGTAGAATTCTGTAGTCTTAACCTCCTAACCCCTTGGAATGATTAGCGTCTTGTCTCTCCCCAGGATCTTACCCCTGAATCAAACATTAAGGTTATGAGAATATAGGAAATGGTCACCAAGTAAAGAGGGTCTTGATGGTTGTACAAATCCTCTTCAGTGCCATAGGAAAATTTTTGTGACTAGTATGGAGAATTTCATAGAAAAGGTTGTGGTTATTCATCGTGAATGACAATAAAAGCTAAGTTTTTCTCGTTTGTCTCACATGACTATATTGTGACACAAACGAAAAAAAACTTAGCTTTTATTTTTATAGTATGGAGAATATACATATTGATGTTTGGGTGTAAAAGGTTAAAGCTTGAAGTACTTTCTATTCTGATTGGGAACATATTTTTCTGTTTCTCATCACTCTTCTCCTGCCTATGCATTTCTCTATAAAAACTCTGTTTGTTTCTGTTTGACCTGAGTTCTATGTTGTGTTGGCAATCTTAACCAACCTCACCCCAGATAAACTACATGCTTGATGAAGAAGATATCATGGAAGACTTAAAAGCCCTCAACAAGTTGGTCTCTCTTCCAGGAGAGGTGATGAAATGTTTTTGAGTGTGATGAAAGTATTGATTGATTATATGTACCTTTTTGCTGTGCCTCCAAAAAGGACAGGAAAAAAAGGTCATTTGTGATTGCTTAAAAGGATGTTTCAAAAGAATGTGTTAAGTTATTCTTAGTTTAGTGATGATTTATAACTGTGAATAACCCTTTTTTTTTATTCGAAAAAAAAAAATTGTGATCTTGTAGTGAATAAACTGTTTAATCATTATTTGCACATAGATGAAATTTATGGTGGTATTTGTAAACTTTGATGATCTCTAATGCTGTATTTTAGGTGTCATCATCACAAGGCCAGTCGCAGAATAAAACAGGATCAAGCCGTCTTAAAACATCCTCAGGTATCTTAATGAAATTATTTCTCACAAGCAGCACATGTATAATACAGCTTGCTCACCAAGGGGAAGTTATCCTTTTAGTAAAAGACAAAATTTTCATTATTTATTAGACCAAACTGCTTCTCAGGCTCATAGTGGGAGGACTTATATTGTCTACAACTCATGTGATATATACTTAATCTTCTTGTAAAATATCTCAGGAAACGGCTCACATTCAGAAATCTCATACCCAGTTGAGGTCCGCTCCGAGGATGGAAGGCTCTTATATGACAAAAAATGGTAATAGCATGTCTTGTGAAATTAATGTGCAGTTTATTGTTATAGCTCAGCATAAGTCTTAAGGAACTGCCCTAGGATAATTTTAATTGGTGAAGGCTTGTTACCTTCAAGGAGGATTAAAAAAATGTAATTTGAGCACCATGCGTAAAAACTTATGTAGATGGTGCAGCTGATTGCTTATTGCAGTATTTTTAGCTTGAGTGCTCTTCTGTAAAGGAGTATTATAATAGATCTCTTGACTTTGGTTCTCCATTGTTATTAGGTTCCATAAAGGGTGTGGTATTGTTGTAGAAACAAGAGAGAATGGAAGATATAGGTGAGATTTCTTACAGTTGTTGACCATGGCACCTGCAGAATTAATTGTTGTTGTTGTTACCTTTTTAAAAAAACAAATTTATCATCATTATTAAGTTGCAAAAAGCTTCTTTTCTATTTTAGTAATTGAAACATTTTCTTTTCTTTCAGTGGATCCCTTCATTCTATTGGCCAGTCAGAGGTGAGATTACCTACATTTTTGACACTAATCAAATTTGAAAGATCTCATTTAGTTAATTTAATATGCAATGCTAACCTTGAAGGCAACACTTCTCATTCCAAACTTTCTTTTGGACTTTAATTTTTTTAATTCATAGCTTATGGTGACACCATGAATATAAATCCTGTGTTAAAATGTGAGGTATCATGATTGAAATACAGCATTGCCTGCACAACTTAAGTAATCCTAATATCAAGTCTTGTCTTACTTCCTTTAATACATTTGTCATACAAAATTACATATTGAATATTTATTTTTTTTCACATTATTTTAGATATGGATCAAGAAAACTGATAACACAAAAGTGCGAATTTACATTTCCTCACTGATGAAAGGGAAATTCCATCTCAAGAAGAAAAATTCCAGCAGCAGCAATAATAGCATGAATTCTGGTCCTTCAGTGAATCACTCCAGTACATAACACTCATTCTGAGGACATTTAGGTTCATTTATAGCAACAATTACTTTTAATAATTGATGCCCCAGTCCATAACTCTTAACTGGTAATGTTTTCTTTGTTAATAAAGTGACACCAGATAAACTTTCCATGCATATGGAGCAGCACTAAGAAAGATTGAACTAACCAAAAATGTTAAAACTGGGAACATTTTCAGAGTTTATCATGCAAGGGGTCATAAAAGTTTTGTTTCAGAAATCCAATTTCTTTGGCAAAAATTTGCAGTCAAAAAAGTCTATAAGAGATCTACTTGTGTACATTATACAGAGGTGCTGTTTGTGAAGGTCACAGATATTTATTTGTAAACTTTGTCAATATAGATTAGAGAGGGAATTGTCTCCACTGGAATCTGTAGATGTCGCACTGTGTGTACCCTTGCTGGGAGTGTTCAGTTTTTATCACACTTTATATCCAATCCTTCTTTGGCTCTTGTAAATTCCCTGAATTAGAGTAAATCTCTCTAAGTTCATTACCCAGTTGTCAGTTTATCACACTTTATATCCAATCCTTCTTTGGCTCTAGTAAATTCTCTGAATTAGCATAAATCTCTCTAATTTCATTACCCAGTTGCCTATCATTTCAGTATAAGTTTTGTGGTTCCTTGTAACTTTAGGAAACATTGCAAACAGAACAAAAGGAAAAAATTAACCTCTAGAGGTTCTTCTATCAGCTGTGTTGAAAATAATTTTCTCCCAGTGTAATTTCTCTCGTTTCCTGATAATCAAGGTCAACATGCATATATTTACTCAGTCAGAGAATGTCATTGCTGTAAATAGTAACATTCAACCAAGTATTAAAAACTTTGAAACAATCATTGTTACAATGAGCTGTGTGACATTTAAATTTTCATTGTGCAATCAACATTCACATGTGGAAGATTATTTAGTTTATCTCTGTTCCATACAAACCCAAATTCTCTGCAGGCATGGCTCATCCTCACTGAAGTGAAGAAAAGCACATAACCCTTCAACTCCCATGAGTGACCAAGACAATTTCTTCTCACAATAATAATACAATATCAAGTAGACAAGTGATGAGAATATAGAAAAATATCAGTGAGGGAATTATAAGTTGATCCAACACCAAATTCTTCAAACTAACATCACAAGAACTGTATGGGAGAAATAAAAGCGAATTACTTATGAGATCTTGGGAGTTAAAGGGTTAAAATTATACAATGTAGAGTTGTGAAGACAAACCAGAGTGGAATAAACTGCAAGCATCTATACCGTGTTTTAAATACTGGGGATAACATACTGAATTCCATACATCACATAGGAGTCAACCCTTTAAAACCTGAAGGGTGATTAGCATCTAATTTCTCCCTACAGTATCAACCCTGAATCACACATTAAAGTCATGAGAGTAAAGGAAATGATCACCGACGAAAGAAGCTTTCAATTGGTAAACAAATTCTCCTTGTCAGCACCTAACAAAATATATAAGAATAGTATGGAGAATATGCATACTGATGTTGGAGTGTAAAGGGTTAATATCAGTAAAAGGGTAAGGGCTAAAAATTACAGAAAAGGTTCGAGGTGCTTTTGAAAGTGAACAAACTGAAATTTTACATTTTATTTTTTATCAGTTTAGAGTTTCAGCTGAAGTTTTTATGATTAATTTTGGTTACTCTTTTAGTGAGGCATATTTCAGTCCAAAAATTAAAGAGACAACTTTTGAATTGTATGATTATCTGTAACATATTCAGTTAAACGTAGTCTGACAAATAAATAGCTCTAAGAACAGTTCAGCAAACAACTTTATTTCAACTACATGATCTTACTGAACATCTCCATTTAAAACAAATAATTTACAAACAACGTCAACAGGGGCAGTGCACTAAGTTTTCTATGAGAAAGTTCATGTTTGATGACATGATGTGAGCTTCTTCAAGCTCCACTTGTAGATGTTTTATGGCAACTTGATCAATATGGTCTGTCTCTTCGCTCTTGCCTCATCCCTTGTCTGCAAATGGCAAAAAGACAAAACAAAAAAGCCCAATAATTAGAAAGCGTGTTTGTGTATCTGTAGTTTTTATCTCTTAAATCAGACAAGAAGTATATGAGGAACTGAAAACATCTCCAAATCACACTTCAACCAAAAAACATTCCTTGATTTTCCATTAGTAATACCTATGTGAGGAAAAAATGGGCCCCCACTTTTGCATTTCACAACACAGCCTACTGGTAGCTGCCAAGCAATTTCTTATTTTTAATTCGCTCCTAACCTATTAAAAACAAGCTTTTGTTATCATAATAAAACTCTTTGATAAAGTTTATGGTTATCTTACTCTCTTAGTAAAACATCACTAAAGTACTATTCCACAAAGACTCATAGAATTTTATTTTTCAACTAGCATCCTGATTTCCTCTTACAATAGCACCCTTGAACCACACATTAAGGTCACAAGGATAAAGGAATTGAACACAATTTCTGAGGCTTTTAATTTTTTTCTTTATATCAGCAGCATGGAAAATGTTTAGTGAACAGTATGGATAATATGGGTATTAAAGGTGAAATTTGTTTTTCAAACTACACTCAGCATTTTACCTGTCATAACCACCTCTTCCACCTCCACCTCTCCTGTCACCACGCCCTCCACCTCTGCCTCCACCTCTACCTCCCCCCCAACCTCCTCTTCCACCTCCCCCACTTCTTCCACCATATCCACCACCACCTGGAGCAAAAGACAAGGAAGTTAACACCAGATAATACTGGAACTGTTACTGTGACAATTTATCATCTGTAAAAAGATAGGCAAAGGGTCCACAAAAATAGACAAACATTGAAAATAGTTACCATCTCCACCACCATCGCCAGATCTTGGTGTTTGGCATCGATTGCAGGTGTCCCTCCTGGCAAAATTCATGTTTCCACACCTGTCCACAAAAAAAAACACAAAAAAAACAATTTTAAAAAATTTTTAAAAAAAAAGTCACTAAGGATCTATTAGTAACCTCTTAAATAACTTTCTAACATGTAGCATTCCAAGATGAATTTACTAGTATAAAAGGTCAGATTCCATGATTGTGAGTTTGTAAATGATCCAAGGTTAGCCACTTATCTAGTAATACACCAACCAGATGCAAGATAAAATCTTAAACATATGTCTGAATTTAAACTAATTAGCCAGTGCCCACCAACACTTAACACCATGAACCAATAACTCTTTTTATAATATTAAGACATGGACCACTCTTGTCTTCAAAATGCAATTCATATAAAACACTCCACTTACGATGGGCAGTCCCAGTCCCCAGCACGAGCTTCCATTCCTCCGCCACTACCACCACCACGATGGTCATCTCGACCACCCCTTCTGTCACCACCACCCCCACGTCCACCACGAGGACCTGCATAGAGAAGGGGTCAACTTACTTACAAAATTTTGCTTTATTATTCTAAAAGTGGCTTTTTGGGTCTTCAGGAACAGAAGCAATAGTAAATGTAATCTGTGCCAAGTTGACAACTAACATCTGTTTTCACTACAGCACTAACATGAGGGGGGGGGGGTTGATTTTTTTTTCAGAAACCAAAGTTATCCCATGATCAATCAGAACAAAGAACTCAAACCATAAATAAGTCACTGCTTGAAACAGGAAAAAACTAGTTATCAGTTTGCAACTGATTGATTGGTTGGGAGAGAAGTGCAAGTTTTCTGGACCAATCAGAAAGCAAAGGTAATGAAATACAACCCAATCCATTATCATTTACTACACACAATTGAAAACTTTTCATGTAACAACCACAGCTTGATTACAACAACCCCACACTAAATAAACGACAGAATGATAATAAAAGAGGTCACACCTCGTCCTCCACCACCTCTTCCACCAAAGCCTCCTTTGGGTACTCTCTTCTCAGCAAATTCAACCTTGATTGTCTGTCCAAGAAACTCTTTACCTGAAGAGATAATATGAACAATAAATGAATCTTAACATCTTTATTTCCACTGAAACACACTCCAGACAGCCACCTCCTTTGAATTGAAGTCAGTGCATCACTGTATTTTCTTAAATCTTTAGAATCCCTTTTCTATGAACCAAGATTCTGTTCCACAAGATAATGTTTTCACAAGTTTTTACAAACTAATTCTCCTTAAATATTGAAAGGAAAATAAATTTAAAGAAATCACTTCACTACTGGAGGATGAATAAAAGACAGAGAAAATAAAAGCTACCGGTAACTAAAATCAGTTAACAAGATTATGCTTCATCTCTCAGACAAGCTCTACACAAAAAGGAAAGCTGTCATTTATTAACCCTTAGAGTAAGCAGTAATACTGCTTAATAATTCATTAAGATCATGAGAATAAAGAAAATGATCACCACACTAAGAAGCTTTGATTGGGAAATAAATTCTCCTTGTTGCTGCCAAAGGAAATGTGAAGAGAAGAGTTTGGAGAATATGGATACTGATGTTAGAATGTGAAAGATTAATTGCAGCAAGTCAATCTTTCATGATATCATGCACAGCAAGGATGCTCATTGCATTACAATAAAATGACATCCATAATGTCACAACTAGCTTTATTAGTAAATCAATTTACCATTGAACCAAGAGATAGCAGCATTAGCTGTTGGCGGATCATCATAAGTAACAGTAGCATCCCCCTGGGGTAAATAAAAATATTTTATATCATTTTAAACCAATAACAATCTGAACTCACTACATGCACTCTTCACAAAACAACAAAAGGCTGCAAGTGTAATGAAGACTTGGTTTTTACCTTTGGAGTCCCGTCAGGATGTCTGTAAATCCAGATTTTAGGGTTGCCTGTCTTTTTGTCAATCTGAGACAAACATTTTAAATGGAGGTTGTTTAAGAGTGTGATAAAAACTCAACTGCAAACCTAGACAGTGTAAACTAACCTTAAACTATCCTATCAGTATAAATCTACTGGCAGTCTATCACAAATGGCTCAATCTGATTGGCTATGCTACTCCCTGTCTATTTTGCAACAGACAATAGGTAGAGTAACAGTGTGCCATGGTAAAAAAAATATATAAAAACACACTCAAGTCTGACCTGTTGTTTTAAGTTTCAAATGACTAGTAGATTTATACTAAAATTAGAAGGCTAATTCCTCTTAAATGCTATGCATGATAGAAATCTCCAGCTCACAATCTTGTTGTTAAATAGATTTAAATTTTACTAATGTGATAGTTTTTCCTTTTAGGCGTTGTTATTATATGCCAATGAGTCTCCTTCACTAATCTTGTCTGTTTAATGAGTGGAAGGCTTTGTTGGTCAAATAGCTAGATCAGTGTCAGTTGCACCTCTCTTTCCTTTTCTTAGCAAAGAAACATAAACAAACTGAGTGCCTCATCCTAAACACATTACCTTTATTATACCAATTGAGCCAAAAAGATCTTTGATGTCTGCTTCTGTAACCGTAGAGGAAAGATTTGAAATGAAAACCTGATCTGTTTCATACTCTTTCCCTGCAAAATCAAAACCAAAAACAAACTCATTTCCATTTGGGGTGATCTAAACCCAATCACTGTACAGAATGAGAACACCCAATCAATAGGTGCACAATAATCTTGGCAATCACATAGGTAAAAGGTCTCACCTGGATCTTGCTGTCCACCTCCAGAAGAGTTACCTGGATTAAAAAAAGGACAAAAAGAACCACTTAGTCATGACAAGAACACTGACAATTGAGATGCTATTTATTATAGCAAATATGATTATGTACCATGCCCTGTTCCCTCAAAATCTGTGCCAGTGAAATTGAGGACCCAATACAATCTACCACAATAATGCAACAGCATATTAGAATAACTTCCCTCAATACCAATCAAACATTCAACAGCACAGTAGTGGCATAAGGCTGCAAAGGACAAATATCAGACAATGTCTCCATTTTGTTTGGACAAAATAGAAATGTAATCCACCATTTTATTACATTTCCCCTTTTTTCTAAATCATGTTTTTGTCACCAGAAAATACCCTATCTGTCAAACCTGTTGCCACATATCCATTTTATTCTTTGTTTGGTAAACAATTCTCCCAAAATTATATACAGCTGCAGTTCAGATTTTGTTAATCATGTGCCAATTTTAGTCAGACATTGACCCACAGTCATTTACAGCTTTATGTGATTGCCACTTGTTGCGATTGATAAAAACAGAAGGACAAAGTTCCAAGAACAGATCCTCAAGAAGGTTTACAGCAAAGAGACCACTGGGTAACAAGTGTCATTACTGTAAACAGGGATTCAAATTTCTTTCTGATCAGAAATACCCTCTGCCCTCTGGATAACTGGATTAAGGAAATGCAATTTATGCAGTCCACAAATTGAAAACCAATAAAAAAAAAAACAACAACAACACAACAACAGAGGCTCAGCTTTGATTTTATAGTTTTGATCATACCAAAGACATATCATGCCATTTTTTGTTGGACCTCTAAAGCACAGAACTACTTGCAGTGAAAACCTTAAGAGCGCTATGAGAAGCCCTAAGATTCAGCAAATCCCAGAGAACAGGTGCTCTTCCCTACCAGTAAGACTTTTCATAATTTTTGACATTTAAGTACCCTGGATGGATCAAAATTCACCACTGGAGGAAGGAAGAGAAGTCAAACTTCCTTATGACTCACTTAACAGACTTTCTTGATTCTCAAAACATTATCTCAAAAATGTTGTTCAACATTTCAAAAATATTCAACAATACCTGGTTCATGACAAAAACTGTTGAAAAGTCTTAGAGGTGGTAATTCTCATATGTTTCTTTATGTGGGACATAAAAGTCCCACATAAAATCCCCTTGAGCAATGTTCAACAACAGTTGCATAAATCCTTAATTACAACATCCTATAAGAGTTTTACATGTAAGGCAAACTAAAAATACTATGATCAGACACTTCTCAGAAGTAAACAACAAAAATTAATTGTTAAGATTTGTTACAATCCTTGACAACAGTTTTGAAATACAGGGCAATACAACCAAGCAAATGTTTACTACCACACACAAAGTACACAAGAACTCCGGAGCTCAGTGATCAAGACGCAAGCTAATATCAGAGGTCATTTCAGAAACCCATAATTTTGACCAGTGGCCCTAGAAGAACTTTTTGTAAGCTTCTAATTTGAATATACCTGAATGACAGAAATTTTAAGATCATACCAAAACCATTATGTTCCGATTCAAAATTGGAATATTACCCAATAGCTTATACAGTAAATGATGCCCACACGGATGAAATTCAGACATGAGCAATAACCAAGCAAGTCGAGGAATGTTTAACACTTTCTTATACCAAACAAGATTAAACTCAGTCTTTTGACCAATGATAACACCAGCTTTGTTAGCCGACCGGCTGGCGGAGTGATTGAATTACACCACAGACAGCATGTTATAAAACTGCAGGACAGAGCCTGTCTGCATCATGTGACTTACCATAACCCATATTACTATTGTATCCACCCGGTCGGCTACCTCCTCTGCCACCGCTGTGTATAGTACCAGTAAATGAATTCAATGATCAAGAGTAGGAGGACACTGCCTTGTACCACAGTACCTCAATCAACCAGTTTAGTAGCAAACACCAATACTTATTATTAATTTAACCCTTTGACTCCCATGAGTGACCCAAACAGAAATTCTCCTTACAGTTTCAATAAAATATCAACCAGACAAGCGATGAGAGGAAAGAAAAATATCCATTAGGGGATTATTAGTTGATCCAATACCAAATTATCCAAACTACCATCATGAGAATTGTATAGCACACAGTAAGGAGAATTACTAATTAGATCTTGGGAGTAGAAGGGATATCTTTTAAATGCATTTTAAACTTAGTCAAGAATAACAGTAGCAGGTTGCAAGTTTTGAAGTTTACTGCAATTCTTACATTGTTACAGGAGGAGTGCATTCCAGGAACCATGTAATTTTCTATCTCTATGCCATTGAAAAAGTATATAGTAAAACTCCCCTATAACTGTTCAGTTTGGAATTTCAAAGAGTAACTTTACCATTCTAAAATTCTCTTCAAATGTGTTAAAAAAATTTTGAAAATAACTTGGTAATCTTGCCACATGTGCAAAGCCAAATTGCCCAGTACATCGACAGCTGCTTCTCTGATCACAATAAAAAAATCTATATTTGAGTTAAGAGTGCCCTTTTGAGCAGCTCTAACCTTTCAAATAGATTGCCAAGATATGAAAAATGAAGACCACGACTTTGTTATGAAACAGGTAAGCAACCTGGTTGATAAGCACGATTCAACATGGCTGCATGCAGAGTAGAAATTTTAACACATTTGAAGACAATTTTCCATCATTCAGGGTTACTGTTTGAAATCTCCTAACTCAGTCAGAATCATTATTTCATATGATATACTTTTCCAAGGTAGAGAGAAATTTTACATTGTCCCCCAAGCATATTTCACTGGTAGGCTTTAAAAGTACTCCTTGACCTTTCCCCTAAATAGGATTTTATTCCATCCCCCAATTTGACTCCAAGTATTCTCACAAGCTGTGCTTAAACTTTACTGCCACCCACTGAAGATAAAGCTATACTAGCCACTTTTCCTGCATAAATTTTCTTCTGATCAACTATCCTAAGCGCTTTAGATGGAATATACAGGGTGTGTGGAGTCTGTTCCTTATATGAATGTTAAATAAATTAATAACCGATTTCTTTTAATAATCTTTTACTTAGATCAAGCCAAGTCTTTTCCCAAGACCCCTCATCCAAAATTTATCTGTAACTTTTACTTCAAGATTCATCTCTTAATCAAGGACACCACTGCCCAACGTAGGACTTTGAGTAAACCATAAGGGAACTTGTGATGTACATGTAACCCCGAAGAAAGCTGTTCATGCACTCAAAACATTTTGAGAGCCCTGGTCACTTTTGAAATTGTCTTTCCAGCTGGAAGTTCCTCTGTTTATGTGGAACAAATATCTGAGATACCAAGACACTAGAAATATCTTGTGTACCACTTTTTTTGGCATACCCCTCATTGTTTTATTTTTATTTTTTTCAAAGGCCTATCTTTACCAGTACATTAAAGATAGAGTTAAATCCCTATAGTATTTATAAAATATTACCCTGACAACAAATCCTCTCATTAAATCTTTCAAACTTGACATTTTTTGTCATCAGCTCTAGGAACAATTTCTACCCTGGTGGGTAAATCCAAGCTCAACCCACTCTTTTCTGAACCCTGCTGTGGTTTTGGGTGTGGACAACAATTCTATAATGCCTGAACGATTTCATATGCCCAGAATAGTTCCATTAGGATGAGCCATGGATATACCAGTGCCTAAAACCCTCCGCAATGAGGTAAAACATTCATCACCCCATTGTGTGAATATCTTTTACACGGTGCACTCTAAGTATGACCACTGTTCACAAGCACAGGAATAGTTCCCTAAAACCCAAGTTTAATAAAAAGTGCAACAAGGAAATAGCACATCAGCCCTAACTTAGCAATGATTTCAACATTCCACACAAGACAGGATACAAGACAGGATAAACCAATTTGCACAATAGAGGAAAATCATCAAATTTCTGGAAAGATTGACAAAAAAAATATTAACTACATTGACCCAAATTAATGTTCCAATTTTTTACAGGTTTTAGAGAATCATTTTTATTTCACTCTTGAAAATACATTTTGTAAAAATCAGTAATTGTGAAGTGATATGCAAAATTTCACTGTACATTTAAAGGCACCCTGTTTTAAGGCATGTTGAAATCAACTCCAAGTCTTTCCCATAGGATTTTATCAGAAAGCAAAATAGTGAACATGGCCACACACAAAATAAGTTTGCTTTATCAACTGAGTTGATCATGTAAATTTACCACCATAAAGCCTTAGCCCTTCACCCCTTACCCATTTGCTCTAACAAATGGATAAACCTTTAAACATCAGCTTTAGAAACTCTTAATGGTGGCCAAACTAGTTAATGAACTTAGTTGATAAAGCAAAATTTATCTTGAACAACCCCCAAGGACGCAGCACCACAGCTGTTTTAGAAACTCTCCCCTACAACCCACACACAGCTTACAAGTGCACAATACACACACAGCTCAGATACTAGAAAGATAATCCTATCACTAGCAACAAATACATGTCTAGGGGTAAAATGTTACAGTTTGCTACAAAACATTTTGCTCCAAAGAGCAGAGGCACCTGTGATTGTAATCATCACAATTGAAAGTCAGTAACCAGTTACATGATGTAAATGTATTCAACACCCAAATCCAATTCTTTACCTTCCCTAATGGTTAAACTATACATTGAGAGGGAATTGTTCTTGTTCAAAAACCTGAACCACCTGGTTGAATTATTGAGACTACTAAACCTGGGTACAAATTCAACAACAAATTTGAAGTAACAGAAGTTATTGAAATTTAACATTTATCCATATCCCATATCGCGGAGAAAATGCTCTGATTAATTTTTAATTGCTATAACAAATTCCTGAGAAAGTTTTGAGCCAGAACAACAATTAAAAGAATGCACACCAGTTTCCCCCCAACCTTTAACATGCACAGTTCTAAGGAAAAGGTACAATCTTTTTAAATCTAACCCAAAAATCAAGAGGACACATCTCCATAGTCACTGGTAAAGTTTAGGTGATAGAATGAAAATCAGAACCTACCCTCTTCCTCCTCCATAGCCACCTCCTCCACCTCCTCCTCCTCCTCCTTGTCCATAGGAAGAGCCCTGCTGTCCATATCCACCACTACTGCGTCCACCATCACCTTGATACCCACCACCTTGGTATCCACCTCCACTGCTCTGACTGCTGCCATAACCACCCTGACCACCAGATTGATACCCTCCAGTCTGTTGATATCCCTGTGGTTGCTGGTAGCTTGATCCTCCACTCGCTTGTGAGTAGCCACCACTCTGAGGTTGCTGTTCGTACCCCTGGTACTGTGTTGAAGATGCTTGCTGGTAGCCACCTGAGCTGCTGTCTGTCTGGTAGCCTGTGTAACCTGTTGAGGCACTCTGGTATCCAGTTGCTGCACTATATGCTGGAGCTCCTCCTTGAGCTGGGGCCTGGTAACCAGTTGACTGGTAAGAGCTGGTAGGAGCTTGGTAACCAGAAGATTGGTAACTTTGAGCTCCACCATAACTAAGACAAAAATGTTAAAGACAAATTACAACAGGTACTACTATAGTTATCATAGCACTGAATGAGGGGTAGGACTTCAAAGAAGAATTGATATCTATTCCTCTTAGTTCTTGTCCTCCTCTCAAAGTTTCTCTTGATCAAGGTTTCTGTCTATAATGAGATGTGACTCAAACATGGAATAAACACAAAGTGTACGTCACCATGAGAATTTAGACCATAGACCTTTTAATTTTAGAGCAAGATGAAATATTTGACCCTGCATATCCTAATATCTGTGTGTATATTCTCTGTCCAGTTCTTTACATGTTTCCTATGGTACTAACAAGGATAATTTGTGAAAAGTCCAGAACCTCTTAAGTTGGCAATCAATTCCCTTATTCTTATAACCATTATGTTTGACTTAGGGGTGAAAAGGTGAGGAGAAATTAATTGCTGGTCACTCTCAAGAGTTAAATGTTTAAAATAGCTGCAGAAGGCTTGCCAGCAAGCTGGGTTTTAATGAGAACTGGTCATCTCTCAAACACAACATAAGAGGAATCATTCCTTTTCACTGCCTCACCTAGCACCTCCTGTTCCACCGTACATTGCTGCCCCACCACTCTGACCATATCCACCCCCATCTGAGGGAAAAAAATTACCAATATATTATTATAATAGACGTGAGTGAAAGAACAAACATTGGGAAGGGGGGTTGAAACCAACAGTAACCTAGTAGTCAGTGACAAGTAAACAATGGATAAAAGTCGGTTGATTTGTTAATCTGGAGCCAAGTAAAAAGTTCTCATTCATGTTTCAGTCACCTCCAAATTGAAATAATGAATCCTACTTTTATCTCATATTTTACCGTGGAATTGCTGAAATATCACAGAAGGAAATTTTTGCCAGCCGACGCTTTATTCGGTAACCCTGATCAACTTCTCCGTGCTTTTGACCAGACACTCTTTTGGGATACTCGTGCGCAACCACTTCCTCAGTAAATGATGGCTACAAAGCCGCTGCCTCCACAATATTTTTAAGCAGCAAGCTTCGAGACGTTTGACAAATATTGTGTTGTATACCCTACACAAAATGACCACCTTGTCATTATAAGTGTGAGCTTCTGGCTTAGATGTCGATCAAAAGTACTACAAACTAAATACCTCCCTCAAGAAGTAGTTTACACGTTCCTCTTACATGATATAGGCTTTGGATCGTTTGAATCGGTACTTTTAGAACACTGTTTAAGCAATTCGCGAGCGTGACAATGGAAAGCTTCAGTGATTTCAGTTGACATGTGAACTTGTGAAATAGGTAATCTCGCCAATATTCGATGGAGATTTAGCAATCAAGTACACTAAAAAGCATCAAAAGCTACTTACATCCTTGGTCCGCCATTGTAAATTCCTAACAAGGTAAAATTCTTCGATTTAATGACAGAGAGAAAGCGTGTGAAACCGAAAGCAAGAACCCAAGACACGCCACGCTTCTTGGTCTTATCCTGCCTCGTTTTCAAATCATACGTCATAACACTCTCCTCGTCTTAGTTCCTCAGCACGTTCTTTGGGTTTCCTTCTAAACACTGTCGAGTTTTCGATTTAAGGAATTTACAGTTTCATTTTTGAACCGAAATACTAGTCTTTCCACCTACTTTGTTGCCTGTTATGGGCGCTGGTGGTATTAATGGAGAGCTAAGAGATCACTCAGAACACGTTGATGCTATATTTCGCTCGCATTTTAATGTAATTAACGGCAGACCATCAACATCTGCATCGTCTCCCTCTTCCCGTCCGACTCGAGGAACTGCATCCTCAGGTAGCAGCAGTTCGAATATTTCTCTGGACGGTTTCGAAGAAATGGCCTGTTTTAGCTGCAGCTCCAATTTTACCTTGTTCAAGCGGAAGGTAATAGCCTAGGTTAAGCGAATTGGTAGTTTTTTTAGGATTAATTCAGCATCTGGTTTGTTTATGGTAAGGGTACTTTTATGCACTGTCTGTCTCGGCTTTTATGAAAGATTTGAATGCTTCACCTTCAGGTAATGTTTCACTTTCCGTTTTAGCGCAAACGTAAAGGACTTCAATCTATTAAGCGTTGGTAATTTTGATCGATTCCAGACTAGTGGCCATAAATAGCATTTTGTTCCCTATTAAATTCATGTGGTAATTCTAATTTTTTAAAATTAAATGATATAGTTAACATGATGTGCCATTACCAAGAGAACACCTGATCGAAGAGAAACGAATGTTCAAATTATGTTCTGTACTGTACAGTTTCGATATTTTTTAATGTGAGTTGCCGTAATCATCGTTCAGACTGTTTACTTTAATTTGTCGTTTTCGAGTCCAAATTATGTAATTGCTTAGTTTTTCACGGGAAGGAATTTCAAAATATCAGACATAAACAAGGGACTACATTCTACAGCCAAAGCTTTATTTATCCACAAACAGCTATTTTCCGGTCATCATTATTTAACAGTGCCCTTTAGATATTGATCGGTTCCCATTCCAGGTAAATATTTGAACATGTTTCTTTCAATGTTGTGGCAACATAGAGGTTATTTACATTAACAATTTGAGGGTTGATACCGACAAGAATTTTTTTTTGACCAGGTCTAATTCGGGTATGATCCCCTAAATATTTCCCATTTTCTGCTGTTTTTGCTGATGTACTTAGTGTGAATAGTATTTGTTTTGTCTAAGTTTAAAATGTGTAATTATTTAAACCTTTTCTTGTTAATATAGTTTCACCTTTAAAGTAGAAATATATGTAATGTGAAGATGCTGTGGTCTTCTAGAAAAAAATTAATCAGATTAGCTCCTGCCTTGATATTTTGATGAAAGCTTCATTTCTTAAAGTTATTGTAAAGAAAGTTAAAGATTTACATCTTCATAAATATTTAGAAAATATCAAATAGCTGAGGCAATTTTCAAACAAAATTATTCCCATCAGTTCAACTCTTTGAAATTACTAGACTTGATCTGTCTGTACTCTCAATAACTAAGATTAATCTAAATTTTTTATACCTTAAGAAATTAAGCTTTTCCCTACTATATAACTTATCTTGGTTTTGAAGTTTTGAAAGCCATCTTAATGGTAATCAAGTTGGAAAGAAAAGCAGACAAATGATTGAATAAACTCAATATAGCCATCAAAGGATTCTGTTTATTAAATTTTAAGGTCTTCTGCACTATAGTTTGCATTGTGAAAATTTTTATAAATTATCCTGTACACTTTTTGGTGTATTTTTTTCCAATAGATTTCATGTCTTTGGTTTCAGACATTAAGTCTGAGCAGAAAATATAAAAAAAAAATGTTTTGGTAATACCACTTGCCCAATTCTAATATATGTAGAATTCTTGAGAGTTTTCAACATGAATCCTTTCAATAAAAGGTAAAATTGCCATTTTAATTCAGTGTTTCAACTTTCAAGTTTTTACCATAGTATTGGATAAATGATGAAAACTGGGGTAAAAAAAAAACAACTATGGTAAGGTCTATTGCTTGTCCAATAATATTCTAGCCTTGGTTGACTTACATTTCTTAAAGCACTCATTATCAGTCATAGAAGTGGTAGGAAATCAAGCTAAAAAATGTACCCATTGCATTTGATCGTAATAAAAATTAAGCCATGCTGATACCTGAACTACCCCAAACTGCTTGTCACAAAATTTTCCCTGCCACTCCCTTTTATTGGAATTTTGTCCCCAACTTGTTACCATTGTTAGATGATAAGTGAACCACTCAGAATATGTCTTTTGGACCTTAACTCTGATGACTGCAGAGGGTAACAGTAAGATGTTACAACGCATCACCAATGTGATTGCCAATCTTAGCTGACATTGTTCTTTTTCTTTCTAAGGATTTGTAGTTTATTTCTGGCTGACACCATTGTGTTATGTCCTTTAACAAGCATGGAAAGACTTGATTCATCTCTTACTTCATACTGTTCATCATTTTATTTCAGAATCTATGTCGAAACTGTAAAAGACACTACTGCAATGACTGCTTTTCAAGAGAACTTAAATTTATTCCAGGAGAGAATAGCAGACACTGCCTCACCTGTAGAGCCCTTCAATCCCCAATTGCATACAGAGATCACCTGATAAGGTTGAAAGTCAAAGACCTCCAAGAATATTTAAGGTCTAAACAAATCTCCATGAATCATTGTAGAGAGAAGCGTGACCTTGTAGAATTAATATTACGGCATGTAGAGGGAGGAACAAATACAGCTCCCTCATCTACTGCGGCTCAGCCTCAACAAGGAAGGCAACCATCACAGACAAATCCTTCACATCCTCATGCACCAGATGCCATTTACACACGGCTAGGTCAGCCAAGGAGTTCGCATTCTCAACCAACTCAAAGAACTCGGCCCGTTCAGGTCTGTATCATCATTTATAGCCAGGATATTACTAATAATTTAAAGTGACATGGCACAAAGTGTTGTTTTTTTCCTTTTTTTATTCAAAGTAATTTACTGGCTTGATGCAGTGTTCTCTGGCAAGGAGTTTTAATAGGCCAGCCATAAATAAAGAAAAACTTGAAGATAGGAGTAGCCAGTGACATTACTGGACACCATTGCTTCTGGAGAACACTGAGGATGTCTTCTCCAATTTTGTCTTTGATAGCCTTCTTTAACCCATCAACCCCTAAAGGTGATTAGCATCTGGTTTGCAATATCACCCCTGGAAGAAACATTAAGGTCACAAATAAGCCCTTGATTGTTGAACAAATTCTCCTTGTCAGTACCAAAAGAAATGTATAGACGAGAGTGTGGAGAATATGGATACTGATCAACGTTAGGGTGTAAAGGGTTAAGTGTTCATCAAGCAAGATGATTATGAGGAGCCCTTAATTTACTGTTCTTCTTTATTGTCAAGGTTCCCCCCTCTGCACCACCTGCCTCTCTGAATAAGAGTCTGAGTGAAATCAAGAATGTAGATGAAGTGCAAGAGCTTTCTGTGAAAGAACTCAAGTGTATTCTAAGGGCAAATTTTGTGGACTTCACGGGCTGCTGTGAAAAGGAAGAGCTCTTGGAGCGAGTTAGAACCCTCTGGAATTCTAAACAAGAATATATCAAAAAGAAAAGTAAGTACCAAGATCATGTACATTTCTCTGAAAGGATTTTTTTGGGGCAACATTTCTTGTTTGTTTTTGCGGAAAGAGGGTTTGCAAGTAATCATGTTTCAAAAGAATGAAGAGAAAACTTGATAAGTATAGAAACAGCAGGTACAGCTACATCTTCATCACTCTTAAAAACTTCTTGTGATTACTTTTTGAAGGTGTTGATATGTATAGGTAATCACATGAGGCCAAGTACTATTAAGGATTAATTGCACAAGAGTTTTCAAAATTTTCCAAAATTGCCCGAGTCGCAAAGCGACAAGGGCAATTTGGAAAATTTTGAAAACTCAAGTGCAATTAATCCTTAATAGTACGAGGTCTCATGGGATTACTTGTTTATCAATAAAGGGCAAAATTTATGCGAAGGAAAATCACGCGCGCAGTCTATTTTTATCTGGGAAGCAACGGATTAGCAATGCAACGGATTAGCCAATCATTAACAGGTAATCATGCCCTCTCTTGATTACTAAAAATGCCCTTGATTAAGAAAAAATGCCCTCTCTCTCAACCAATCAGCGCTCAGTAATTTTGCCCTTTATTGATAAGGATAAACAAGCAGTACAAGACTCATTAATTGCACTGTCTTATTTCAGAATTGTTTAATTAAAACATGAAAGTTGCTAAAATTAAAGTGCCTTATAAATGACAGCCAAAAACGTTCCCTTACCATAAACAAAGTTTGCCAGCCATCAGTTCTTATTTGCAATTACAATTGTTCCAAAGTCTGCCATGTCAGCTGTCAGGATAAACATAAGTTATTCCTATGCACAAGCCAGGAGATCTTTATTGGGAAAAACTGCACCAGATGTCTTGCAGAGCACAGATGGGCTCAGTTTTTCCCAATACCAACCAACCCTGGCTGGTGAATAGCTTTGTCATTTTGTTCTAAGACCTAAAGAAATGCTTGCAAAAGAAATATAAATAATTTAGGGGTGCAAGTACTGTACAGTGGTTCCAAAGTCAAATATAAATAAAACTCTTTGACATTCTCACTTTAGAAGACTCTTTTTTTAACACTAAACAAATAATTCAAAAGGTCAAGCTTCAATGAACTTTTTAAACTAATTTTAGCAAGTTTTTTAAGGGGCCAAAATGTTATATCCAAATGTCAGTTCATGGGTTATTTTGTAGTTCTAGTCCCTATATTGAGGATATTGCAAATTGACTTCTTCTGTTACAGTAAATTTGTCCTATCAACAATATTATTATATTATAAGTAATTTGTGAATGCTTGTGGAAGAGTTTTACTTCTAACTTGCAACTCACCTAGAACAGCACTCAAACCAACTGTGGTCCCATGAAAACCTATAAATATAATTCCAAGTTATAAAATGTATGTAATAACTACGCATGTATGTAAATTCAAGTATGTCAACTTCAGAATGTATTTTCCTAACTGCTTTGTTTCCTTCTTTTTTTTTTTTTCAGGTACAATGGTACCTGATTATGATGATAGTGAGGACCAGTGTAAGATTTGTATGGATAATGGAATAGATTGTGTTCTACTCGAGTGTGGTCACATGGTCACTTGTACAAACTGCGGCAAGCAGATCTCAGACTGTCCAATTTGTCGACAACATATTTCCAGGATTGTGCATGTGTTTAAAGCTTAACCTTTGTATCTTTAGATAGAATATCACTGAATGTAGCTGTGCTGTAATTTCATTGGAATCTTGATTGATGAACATAGTCATTCATCCGTCCATGGGCTTTGGTAGGCAAGCAACATCCCCTGCTGTGCTGCAGGCTACAAAATAGTGCATGTGAGAGGTTCTTGTAGGAAAAAGAAAGAGGCATGATTGTAAGGAGGTTCAGTTTTATCTTTGGTTTATTCTTCCTTCATTACAAATGCACATATTCACTGATACCAGAGAGAAACTTGAAAAGATGAGGAGCAGTTTCCAGTTTTCACATCGTATAGTGACAAGGAAAATTATTACTTCCCCTGGATGGGTTTTATGGTTACCACAGGTTAACCACCCCCCTATGCATTTTAACATGGTTCCCATTATATTTTTTTATACCTATTCATTATCATTATGGATGAAGTATCTTCCCCAAGAATAAGGGAATGTGGCTTTGGTGGAAAAATGAATCCATACTTTTGATCTGGAGTTCAGCAAGGCAACCATTAGGTTATTGTGTCCTAGAGATAAAATTGAACCACAATGGTTACAGATATGGCATGTGGGGTGCTTTGACAGATGCATACAGTGATTTTATCCTTATTCCCTGTTGTGTTGTACTTGTTAGTTACCCACTCACAGCCAAGTGGGTCAATGGTCGATTCATTTTGTGAGCTGCCATTTTAGGTTGCATAAAACAGGTTCTCTTGTTTTCTTTCTTGTGCTGTGTTCAGCTGTAAGAAAAAATAAGCAAGAATTGTTTTCAGTTTTATGAATAGTAATATTTTTTAAATTTGTTTAATTATATCCAATTTTCTTAGTTTTGGGTTTGATATTTTTTTTGTGGTGGTATTGTGTCAACAAGAATGGAGTCTGTTTTGCCTCTAGTAGCTTGATCATAAAAAGGGATTTAGACATTGGTTGCAAGTACTTTGAGTTATATAATCTGTTGTTTGTGAACTGTCATGGTAATTTGGTGAAGTTCTTTTAATAATGTTGCTTTAACTTGCTTTGAGAAGAAAGCTTTATTCGATGGTAGAGAGCATCATGGTTTCAATATTTGTTTTGATGTTTTCATTAGGAAAAGTAAAATTTATTGTTATTTGAGAATTTTTACACTGCTGGTAAGCACCATTTAAAGACAGTGGCCAGAAAATAAATTGTTAAATTGCCCAGAAGACATTTTCCAAAAGAAATGATTTTTTCATCAATCAAGAGTTCCTTTTATCAGTCAAGAGTTCCTTTTACAGAATATAGTTGACATGTTATTAAAAAAGTATTTACTTGTTGCATGATTAAAAACTTTTTTACCAAGTACTTGCATTTTAAAAAGTAGGGCTTTTTGGTGCAGGAATTATTATTTATTATTTACTTCACCCAAGGTGATATCATATATGAGATGTCAGCACCATCAAGGAATCCAGTTCATCCACTTGTTCTGCAGTGGCAAGATTTATTATATGGCAAGGTAGTCCAGAGGTTAATTCTGATTGGTTCTTAGTAGGTCAGTATTTTTACTATAGGGACTGTTTCCATGGAAATTGTCATTAGCGATGTATTTTTGGTTACAAAAGATGGCAAATCAAAGGGCTAATGCTTGAAACATCAGCTTTTTTACTCTTTATGGTGGCCAATTTAATTTTTCAACTCAGTTTAATGGTTTGATTGCCATGTAATAAACTACCCACTAACCTCACTTCCTTAAGCTGTACTGGGGAATATTAGATCTCAGTATTTTTTTGTACTGACCTTGCTGTGTTTGGTCTGTACTGCCATGACCTCATGCCAATATTCCCCAGTACCACTCCATGCTCAATTAGCAAGAAGTTACAGTTCTTGATTTTTCAATTATTTCTTTGTTGTTGTTTCTTTTCTTTTTTCTTTTTTTTTTTTGTTGTTGTTACTGTCACTGTTTTATTTTTGATCTTCCAATTTACTTGATAATACATGTTAGGTATGTCCTATTCTTTACTGTTCTTTGATATGACTGGAAAAAAACTTATTTTCAATTTTTCTATTAAACATTGTTGTAAATGCTGGTGTGAGCTATATGTGGTTTGTTCATTTATCTGCTGGTGAAGCAGCATGCTGTAAGCTAAAAACTGTTGTTTACCTACTTTAATTTATACAAAAATTCAACTCAAACTCCCATGCACTGGGAGAGCTTGCAAAGTAATAAACAATTTTTTTTAAAGTGGTTCATGAAGTTTGGATGCCTCGTAAGAGACCAGACTGTAAGGTTCTTGATTGGCTGATAAAAATTTGCATATTCTATAGTAGGTTTCTTAAATGTGAGTTTGCATTGTATATGAGCTGGTCAAAGAAAATGTTTTAAGTAACCTGCTTTGTTGGATAATTTTCAAGGTAAAGAAAACAAGACACATTTAGCTTCTGAGCAACCAACTTTTTGTCGCTCATTTTCAAACAGGCTCAATTCCAAGACAAGCTAAAAATCAATGCAGCGTCAGGTCAGACGTGCTGGAATTTCATCTTTTTTTTTTTTTGTGGCCCTGAATGCTATTTAGATCAGACTTGGCACATCATGCGGTAATAATTGAAATAAGTAATTGTTATGTCATCTGCTCTACTTATTTAATCTTGTTATATCAGTATTCCATTATCATGTATGGAAAAACTAGCCAGATGGCCAAATGTTGAGAAATTTTTTATGCCTTTTTTTTACTTTTTTATCTTTGTGAAGTGTGCTCAGCAGTCAAACAACCTTTTGTATTGCTATGAGCGGGAGCCTGTATTGCGTGCGGTTATTTTGTTTAATTTAACCCTTTGACTCCCATGAGTGACCAAGAAAGAATTTCTCCTTGCAATATCAATACAATATTGAACAGACAAGAGACGAGAATCGAGAAAAAATATATTAATTCAGGGGATTATTAGCTGATCCGATACCAAATTCTCCGAACTAAAGTTATACGAATTCTATGGTGGACAGTAAGGCGGATTACTAGTGAGATCGTAAGAGTGAAAAGGTCAAGTCCTAAAATTATCAAGAAAAGCGTTTTAAAGGTGCTCGAATTGCCACACGATTTTATGTTCTTCGCGGGCTTCATCCTTAGACGAGGTATTCAAGGTATAATTCTTCACATGAAAATAGCTGGAGTCGGGTTTTACAGGCGGCACAATCCCTTTTCCCTTCGAGATGGTGATCCTTGTAGAAAAACCATCGTGTTCAATGTTCAGTACTCCGTCTCAGGGAAGCCATTTATTTACTGTTACAGGATGCCGGTGCAGCCAATCAGGTGGCGCGTTTGCCTTCCGTCAAATGGAGTGACTGTCGACGGGGCAAGGAGTCAGAAACATCTGAGTAACCTCGTGTGAATGAAAGATTTCAAAGAGGATCTGTTTAAGGGATTCAACAAAAGTGCAGCTTGGGGAGAGATCCAACTCACGGAGCAGTTGGGAAGCCCAAAGGGCTAATACCTCCCCCCTCCCCTCCTCCCATCCGCCTCGAGCGGTTACGTTGGACCAAGAAGCGCAGGCAATTTTCAATAAAAACAGGGGAGAAGGGAACAGTTAAGGAGCTTCTCCTAGAGGATTTACCCTTAAAACGAGTGCGGCGCGAACACGAAGAGCTGTCTCGCGCGCACGTGTTAAATTTTAGCAGCACGACAGCGTCACGTGCGCACGTGCGAGCCTGGGTGAGTTGACCTTAAGATCATGAGTCATTTTCTTTCATAAGAAGCCATCTACGGTGACTGGCTCGAAGCTATTTTGTTTTGCAAAGGCATAAGTTAAGTGTTCATACTCCTCATCCCCTATTCCTCTCGAGGAATCAGCTCCAACTGTGGGGAACTGGTTAAGTGTTGGTAAGTGCTAGTAACACGCACAGGATTTATATTACAAAGTCTCTAAAGCCGATCTTTGATGACACAGATTAATGTTTCGACGCAAATATTAGACGAGACTGTTGGTCACACAATTTTGAAAATTTTACTGATCAGAGGTAGATACATCAACTAGATTATATTGACTCAGAATCAGATGGTTTAAACCTGGACCGAGAATCGTTTGAGTTTTTTAACATTTTAAAACAACGAGTTGAAAGGTTCACGCTATAGTGGGCATTTCACAACAACAGATAAAGCCATAGGCGTCATGCTTGTTTGATTCCATTTCATGCAACAATGTTTCGTTATGAGAAACAATGCAAACGGCTGCTCAATTAAAACCATTGTGATGTCGTAATATACTGAAATTACAGTGCTGGATAACATCAATTAATCGCAGACAATGGTCGACAGTAACCAGGGGGAGGAGGTAATCGGTGAAGTCCAGAGGACCCATCTCCTACCTCGTCGGAATATACCATACTACAGAGAAGCAGGCAACTGTCGGTAAACACAAGGGAGAAGGTGGTG